TTTAGACTATAGCTCATATAGGAGGTACATGGGAATTAGAGAGAGAGAGAGAGAGAGAGCCTTAAACCTTTCTTTCTAGGTATCGGGGTAGGGGATGCTGATGTACGAGCTTTCTGGCTGTTATTGTAAAGTTTGGGGATGTAGTGTTAATGCCGTTAATGTGTTTTTTGATTGCATGGATGGCTAGGGCTGTAGTGGGTGTAAGATTCTAGGGGGTACAAGTACAAGGTTCGGAGTTTCTTGAAATAGGACCCTGTGATTTATGGGGATTGTAGAGGGAATGCAATCAAATAAACCATAATCGCTTTCATACATGCACCCCAAACGGGACCCTAAATTTCAGAAGCCCCCATCTAGACTTCAGCATGTCAGGGCCTGGAGAGTTCTACTCAAGTTTGGAAGGCTTAGGGCTTAGGAATGTTTTGGGGTTCCAGGTTCAGGGTTGAGGGGATTTTGGATGAAGGGCTCCTGGTGCTTTGCCCTTCTTGTGGGCGAAGTGATGTGATGATGTGGAGATGAGAAGATCAAGGTGTGGGGTGTAAGGCAGTGTAGGGCTCAGAGATGTTCAGGGCCCATGCAAGCCTGAAAGGCTTTGTTAGGCTGTGACATTCAAGGAGACAGAGTTTCAGGAGTGGTGCAGACTTGAGAGGCTATGCGAGTTTGGGGATTCCGGAGGGCTGAAAGCTGAGATAATGGGTATCAAGCAAGCTATTGTCTCAGAACTCCGCCCCTTAGCCACGCCCGCCCACTAAGAGATCCTGGCGGCAACTGCTAACTCGCTTGCTGTTCAGGTCTTTGACATTCGAATGATTTTTTTGCGTTTGAACCGAGTCAATGTCCTTCATTCAGTAATACTACTATCAAAGGAGGTTGCGTACTGGGCTGGGGACCGTAGTAGCCTGATTCTAATAGTACGCTTCGGCGTAGCACATGTGCCAGGACCAGCTGGTGGCCTCCTTGTGGTACATTAGGTTCTGACAAGTTTCGGTAGGGATGACTGCTCACAAGTCCCATTAAGTAAAGATACCTAAACACATAGTCGCACAACTGATCCTGGCGAAAGTCATGGGCGTCCTGCATCTTGCTATGTGTTAAGAAGTGGGCAAGAAGTGAGAATGTCTTGTGTGGAAGAACTGCTTACTATGTCGGCCACAATTCTGAGAGACGCCCTCAGGCATGTCGTGCACCCACAATGTCATCACCATAGATCCCCTGCAGCTTGTAAAACAAGTCTGCTCAGTCGGACCAAATCTTCTCCAGCACTATGGCAGTGGCAAGACTGGGAGACAGGCGACGCAACACCAAAGAGCATAACGCTTTGTATTTGTACGTCAGTGTATACAAAGGTTCGCCTCAGTAAATAATGATGGTTAGAGTTAAAAGCAGGATCTCCGCGATGATGACCATGGGGCACTCGTGCTCGCGGTTGCAAGGGTTGCACCAGGATATGAGCAAATATGCCGGTGACGGTCAAGAAATCCATAGCCCCCAAACTATGAGCACCTAAGCCCCCAAACCCTAAACCTCCAAGCCCTAGATAATGTATAGGTAGTATATAGCGATTATATAGGGATGTTAAAGGGATAATAAAGGAAATCTATCGGAATCATATAGGATCTTTTTGCCCGCGACCACGATCCGTTGGCCTTGCCCTTCTGGCGCTGAATTCGCTGGAGACGCGCCTCCACCTCGGATGACAACCGCACACAGGCACTTGATCTCGTTAAGCTGGAATACGATGCTAGCAGCCAGACAGTGCGCCTCCTTGCCTACTCACCCCCAGTAAGCTTAAGTGCTGACAATCACTATCCCCGTGGCACACTGGCACCAGATGTGAAAAAACCTTCTGCACTGGAGGCTCTGGGTCCCCAAAATCCATGTTATCCTCAATCCGGCGTACGGATCTACGCAGTGCTGAGACTCCTCAAATCTCTACCAAACTGCCCAGAAAGGGAAGGAAGTCTCAAATACACCCTCCAATACATACCGCATCTGTAACATCTGTTGCACAGAACCGTGCAAGGTCTCAGATGCCCTAGGCACTAAACTGTCCCAGGAACCCCTCAACGCTGAACAATTCATTCATCGTTTCACTTGGCTTGGATATCCCCCGCCCAATATTGGCATCTTGAACAACTGGATCTTTACAAAGGCAGATATGCTTCTGAGAAGCCTCGGAAACTGAAAGTCTGAAGAAACCTCCCTATCACCATCTCAGTCTTCTCTACACTTGGGGCTTCCAAAAAAACAGACCCCCTGACATTATAAGTATAAGGGCCTAAAAAGGGACCCGTCACTCTTGGCTAAACACTATATACCCCTATATCGCACCAACAACCGCTTTAAAATGTCCATTAACATCATATAACTTAATCTGCTCATCCCAAGCTTGCTTCAGGTTTTCCAAGCTGCTGCCTCTAATGCCGTGGCTACCACAGCAGCCTCACCTACCTGGGAAGGCTGCATCGAGGGTTTATAAAGGGGTTGTGTTGGGAGCATTTGGGTTTACAGGGTTTTTACGTGGTTGAACCATGTATAGTACTTACTTTTGTACGTTTCTTGTAAATGCAATGCCGACCAAAAGGGCATAACCATACTTCACATTGGGGACACGAGTATCCCTACTAAGAATACTTCCCACCTGTGACACATCTTAAAGAGGATGGTTTTGGGTCCTAGGAAAGGCACCGCTTAGGATATTTAGGGATTACAGGAGATCATGATTCTTGAGGAGGAACTTACCCCAACACCCTAAACAACAACCCCACCACAGTCAAATGATAGCCAAAGGTTCCTTCAGGGGGGGCTTGTGGGGGAAAACCAAATAATCCTGATTGCTCTTCATGAACAGGAGTCACAAGCCCTTTGTGCCCATTTAGTGGCTGTAACATTGCTCTTAGTTCATGTTTCCAAGGTTACGTTTCATTTGCGTGAATTTCTTGCTTCCACGTGATAAGGATCCCTATGTTTCGGAGGGTCAAACATGCACAAGGAAATTTTGGTGGGAAGAGGGGGCTCTCCCTTAGCATGGTGCACAGCGCGGCTTGCAGAATGTTTCAGCATTTGCTCTTGGCGGTTCATGCGGCTACTATCTGCTTATGACATCTTACAACTGGCGCTCAAGGACTATAACTCGGGTGATAGCCCAAAACAGCAGTTTCAATTTTCTTTTCCATTATCCCTTTATAACCCCGATAAAACCCATGAACCCCTACACAACGCATTACAATAGTTCCAATTTTCTTGTAAGTAGCTACTGCGTCCTATGAACCTTCAAATAAGATTCTGCAGTCGGACTTGGGTTTCCGGATCCCCGGCACCACTCTACTTCGAGGTTCATGAGTTGCTACAAGCATCAGTTTTCATACCAAGATAAGGCTAAAACCCATAGTTGTCCCTCTTCTGCGGAAGCCTAAACCCTAAAGCCATGAACTTCCTTGTAGACTCACAGCTTGAGGATATGGTAAGTTTCAAAATAGGGGGACCCTGGTTTAGGCTTTGGGGTTTGGGGTTTAGGGTCAGCATATAACTGTATAAGGCGATGTAGAGTGAGTGGGATCCATCAGTGAGGATTATGACAGAAATGGCCCAGCGGCCAGCACGCAGCATACAGCCTCTGCAAGCTGCCGCTGGTCCTGCAGTTCCAGTTCGGGTTGTTCTCTGTATTAGGTTCTTGTATGGCATGAAAGGTACGTATGATTCTGACAGTTTGCTGGGTGTCCGATCTCTAGCCAGCACTGTCTCTTCGTGATGAATCCGCGCATGAGCATTTCCGGCTGTGCAATCTTAATGGGTGCAACTATAAGGGATTCCTCTTAGGGACTTCATGATTCATCGCGGCTATTCTGAGAAGCTGCCCGAGTCATAACGCCTGTTGAGGTAAGTGGAAATTTGCTTCAGAATTTAGACGCCTCCTTTAAGGAATGAGGGCTTTCTCAGTGCGATATGGGGCAGGAATCAAACGTGCTAAGGTCGGGACTCCAGACCCGTGAATGTGAATTAGATTAAGAGATGTTTGCTCCTGCTAGTTGCGCTACATGTTCTCCTTCTCCTTCGTCTCCTCCTCATCCTGTCACTACTGCTGCGACCGCGCAGATGATGATTATGATGATAACGATGATGAGGATGAGGACGAGGATGATGACGATGGTGGTGGTGGTGGTGATGGTGGTGGTGGTGGTGGTGGTGGTGGTGCTGCTGCTGGTGGTGGTGGTGGTGGTGGTGCTGGTGGTGCTGGTGGTGCTGGTGGTGCTGCTGGTGCTGGTGGTGCTGGTGGTGCTGCTGGTGCTGCTGGTGCTGCTGGTGCTGGTGGTGCTGGT